GAGCAAAACAATGTAAAAAAAAAAAAAAAAAAAAAAAAAAAAAAAAAAAAAAAAAAAAAAAAAAAAAAAAAAAAAGGCATATTTCTTTCATTCTGACCTAACATGTTTAAGATCCACTTGCATTTATATTTCTTAGATTTCTATGGACATAAATAAAAATCTGAAAATTCTTTCCATGCATATATTTCCTCCAAGGTCATACATACAATCAAGCCTGGGAAACAGAGAACTTAATTATAGATCTAGAAGCAATGAGAGCTGCTGGAGGTGGGTCTTGATGAGGATCAGCATTCCTCTCCAAGATAACTTCTTTAGGAAGTTCATTAAAGCCTCTTCAAAATAAACATTTCTCATTGTAAGTCTGTTACCCACAGGATGTAACTTAACTTCTTTTTTGGTTTTGTTTTTCGTTTCAGAAATGCTTACCCATTGGCTACATAAAATAATTTCGGGGGGGCCTTCAAAAAATTTCTTGTTCTTTATTCAAACTTGAATTGAGAATCTAAAGTCTTGAGCATATAATTTTCTTTCTCCAAGTTCTCTGATTCAGAATTGGTCATATAGTCCTTATAGTCTCTTCATTTCCATTAAAATTAGCTCTGTAGGCTGATGTGAAGATGAGAACCACATTTATTTTCCTCACAGTTGTATGGGTTGTAATGTTGTGCTTGTTCGTAGAACTCCTAAACACGGGATTATTCAGCTTTGCCCACTGTATGCTAAGTAGGTAGGGTTTGTAGCTAAGCTATTTAGGTATCTTCCTGTGGATCATTACTGTCATGTTTCAACAGTAAAGCCATTCAATAGAGTCTTGCACTGTTGCCCAGGCTGGAGTGTGATGGCGTGATCACAGCTCACTGCAAACCACACCCAACCATAAGAGATAGTTAAGTAAAGTAGGGTATATCTATGGAATATTATTATAAAAAATAAAAAAAAATTTATGAAACACTGAGAAGTAAAAAATAAAAAAAAAAAAAAAAAACAGCATGAAACGAAGAAAAAGTCATTTGTAAAACCAAATTTTCCAGTGGCTGCTTCAGCATTTTAGAAGAATGACAGAATAGCAAAATTCTTTTGGGGGAAAAACTGCTCTTTTGCTTAGGAAAGCTTGATGAAGGAAGTTCTTTTGCTCTGGGAAGCAAGGCTACAAGCCAGTCTAGATAGGGAGAGGTTTCAAAAAATCAGGAGCCAAATTGTTCAGCATGTCAGAGTAACAAGAGTTTTTAGTTTTTACCCTGATGGCCTAAAAGATAGAATACTGGGACACTTGATCAGGAAAGAGAGGCAGCACAAAGGTCAATAAGATTGTAGCAGGCCAGGGATCAGGGAAATGTTGTTTCCGTAATGACAATAAACATCTCCTAATTGCATGAGAATGCCTGCTCTGGATTTTTTAACTTTGTACTCTACATACATATATATATATAATGTTTTTAATTAGAAGAAAAGAGCATGATAGATATTCCAAGTCAGGTAATGCGTGGACAAAATAATGATTATCTTACCTATCAGTTGTTGAACTGAGGCCCAATTGGTTAGTTGATTGAATTTATACACTGGGTCAGTGCAGGTTAGCAAATTTGTGCAACATTGACACCCGCTATTTGTTTTAAATTTGTTTTTCTGTTTTCTTTCTTTTTTTTTTTGCAATAATATGCTTCTGCTATTGCTAAACCTTTGTAAAATGCTTTTTAAAGAATATATCCAGTGGCAATATATTATTAGTGTTTGGGGAAATACAGGAGTGGGAGCTAGATGATAAGAGGAAATGAAAGCAGGTACAGAAGAGTCAGAGTGGGTCAATGTCGGCCAGAACACACTGTTTAATAGACCATTCTGCAATGATGAAGTGTTTGAGGTTTGCACTGTCTATAGCCATAAACAATAGCCACTAGCCATATGTGCCTACTGAATACTGAAAATGTGACTCGTGTGACTGGGAGCTGAAGTTTCCATTTTATTTTGACTTGGCTAGCTCAAATATAAACAGCCACGTGTAGCTTATGGTTTGGTGTTAGAGGGCATAGAACATCTATAGAAAATCAAAAGCAGTGAATAAAAAATGAGGAATCAGAAGAAGGTAAACATGTTCTCTTTCATTCAGAAAACTCTCAGAACTAGTAGAAAGGGATCTGGGCTTCTTGAAATCACATAAAAAGGAAGTTTAAAATATTTAATCACTTAAGAAAGGGTAACTCTAAAATGTTGAAAGACCAGCAACATATATTGTATGAACCTTTTTAATTAATTTTTTTTTGAGGTAGGCTCTTGTTCAGTTGCCCAGGCTGGAGTGTGGTGGCATGATCATAGCTCACTGCAAATTCAAACTTCAGTGCCCAAGCAATCCTCCTGCCTCATCCTCCTGAGTAGCTGAGACTACAGGCATGTGCCAAGTATACCTGGCTAATTTTTAAATTTTCTTTGGAGATAGAGTCTTGCTATGTTGCCTGGCTGGCCTCAGACTCCTGGCCTTAAGCCATTCTCCCACCTTGGTTGCTCAAAGTGCTAGGATTACAGATGTGCATCATCACACCTGGCCTGAACTTAAAGTTTTAAGGCACATCTCTGTTCTTAGAGAAAATATCGGAAGACTACATATCAAAATGTTAATTTCAGGTAGCATGATTGTGTATAATTTCTATTTTTCTTTATACTTGCTACATTTCTCAAATTTTCTCCCAGAGCATGTCTAAGTGCATTTGCTTAAAATCTGATTATTTGTCTAGATATTTTGAGTATAATGACCTCCTTACTACCTCACCTACCCTTTCCCCCATTTCCTTCCTCATTCAATTGATCACTGTGACTGCACTTCATTAGCTTCTGGGAAGGTGTAAGGTTGGTAAGAAAGCAGAAGTTATCTGCAAGATTTCCGGTCTTTTATTTATGACTATAAATATTTGCAAAATTTTTAATAGAAATTGGGAGTTTGAAAGAAACAGGAGAGGGTCAGTGAAACTCCCTCCAAAGAATGAAATGATTCCTAGGGTTGAGAGATGGGCTTGTGAATTTCAGAGTAGAGGGGACCTGGGATTGACTTTCTGGTGGTGATGGGTTTTGCACGACTTCAGAGGGAAATGGCAGCATGCTACAGCTGGAGAGTAGAATTGACAGGTCCTGGGTGCCTATGCCTTATGAGAATGTCCCAAGTCTCACGTGTGGCGTAGAAACCACAGAAACCTGCCAACCCTGAAAGTGTCAGACAGCAGCAAAGAACATTTCAGTAATAACTTTGGTGGACCCAAGGGCTCATGCCCCAACACTCTGTGTAAGTCCCTTGGAATTTGACACACCCTTTGGTTGGTAGTGAAGGGCACAAGAAGAAATGAAGTGGAATTTTTTACCATCTGAACAGGAAAAATTTAAACACTTAACTTGCATTTTTTAAAAGGATGTGGAGAAATTGGAACCCTTATAAACTGCTGATAGGAATTAAAAATGGTGCACGTGCTGTGGAAAACAGTTGGGCAGTTCCTTAAAAAGTTAGGCATAGAACTAACATATAATTCAGCAATTCCACTTCTAGGTATATACTCAAAAGGATTGAAAGAGGAACTCTAACAGATGCTTGGACACCAATGTTCATAGCAACGTTATTCACAATAGCCAAAAAGTGTATTTTACGTGTGGCTCAAGACAATTCTTCCAATGTGGACCAGGAAAGCCAAAAGATTGAACATCCCTGGTCTAGAGTGAACATAGCCTCAGTACTAAGACAATTCCCCTTGAGTTTTCTACCTGATGCCCCATGGGGGCCTTTCCACTCTAGCTAGTGAGAACATCAATTATTCCCAGTCTAGTTGAGCTTCAAGAGTTTTCTGCCTATGTCTTCCTGTTTACGGTGTCTCTGGCCTCCGGTAACTTCCTATATATATGTAAATATACTCAGCCAAAGACCTGAGAGTACCCCTCTGTAGGTCTCTGTACAGCACCTCCCTCTCTTCTAGCCACCTTGTTCACCAAACCCCAGCCTCTGTCCCCTCAGCTCCACAAGACTGCAGGCTCTCTGGGCTGTAACTTGGTAACTGTCTCCAGGTAACGAGTTTTTCCTGTGATGCATGCAGCTCACCTTGTTTATTTTCCTTCTACGGATCACAGTCCTGTGCTGCCTCTTACTTAATGACTTGAAGTGGCCCTTAGACAGATTTCTGGAGCTCTTTCTGTCTTTGGCTCTATTATGTACTTTCCCCAGAGAAGTCCTGCCACCTCACACTGGCTGAAACTTGATCTCTATCTCTTAAAGTCTAGGAGCCCACTGTGCTCTTCTTGGGCCTTGCCTGTCTCTTTTGTGGTCCAAAACACATCTCTATGCAGAAAGCAGGGCAATTGTAGGGGTCAGCAAATTTGTTTCCTTTCTCGGGAATTGTAGTTCTATTCTAGCTGTTATTTAATGTATGAAAAACAATCGCTTTATATTTTATGCAGTTTACTTGTCTATGATAGCAAGGAAAGTCTGATACTAATTATGATGTCTGGATGTGGAAGTGTGAATTACTTTATTTTTCACTTTTAGAATTTCTGTTGTGTTTCTTCAATAAGCCTGGTCCTTTTCATTATGTCTGTCTATTATGATTTCTCCTCCTTTCTTCTCTTTGAGTATTGTAGATATCCTTAACTTAAAGCATTTTGGTATTTTTCTATTCTCTGTATTTCTTTAGATGTGGTTTCTCTAATTTGCTGCATCCCATATATCTCTCTTCCTAGTTCTTTTTCCCCTCTTGAGGATTGTACATTTTTTCTAGGAACTCATCTTTAGTGGGAGTTTTTTCCACACGCATCAAGTGTACTGGCTTGTGGAGGTTTCCTGTGGCAAGGGGCACATTTTATTCTAACAAAGCCCCAGGAGTTTCAATTTATATAAAAATTTCTCAGTTGGGGTTTTCCACATAGACAGGATAATGCAAATTCATACAGTAGTATTTGCAAGGTTCAGAGATGTGCTTCCTGTATCTTTTTTCCTCCCATAGCACAGAGTAGCTGGCTTGCTTCTTTGCTGCTTCATTGGCTTAGTGGTCAGGGTGTTCTAATTTTCTTTTTATGGACTGGTTGTCAGATTTATTAAAGAGCCTATTTCTAGGTACCAGTGTTGCATGGGACTTTAGACTGAAATCCAGAACCCTGGTATGTGCTAAAATCGTGGGACCTCCCCCCCCCCCACAGGGATTTACCTCATTCTGTTTCCTCCATAGGTCACTGGGTTTAGCTCTTACTCACTGCATTGATTTTGAATATTGTATTTATTTCCTTTACCTAAGGGTCTCTCTCTCTCTCTCTCTCTCTCTCTCTCTCTTTCTCTCTGTGTGTGTGTGTGTGTGTGTGTGTGTGTGCGTGCGTGTATGTGTGTAAGACAGGGTCTTACCCTGTCTCACAGGCTGGAGTGCAGTGGCCTGATCTTGGCTCACTGCAGCCTTGACCACTTAGGCTCAAGCAATCCTTCTACCTCAGCCTCCCAAATAGCTGAGACCGCAGGCATGTGCCACCATGCCCTGCTAATTTTTTGTGGGTTTTTTTGTAAAGATGGGCTTTCACCATGTTGCACAGATTGGCCTTGAACTCAGCCTGCCTTGGCTTCCCAAAGTGCTGGGATTACAGGCGTGAGCCACCACACCTAGCTCAAAATTTCTTTTTCTTAATTTCAATCTTTGTTATGTATTTTTAAATTAATTTTTAAATTTATAATTGACACATAATTCTACATATTTCAGTGATACATTTAAAAATTAATTTGAGTTCATTGTATCCACTTTTCTAGTTATTTTGTGTGGGATGAGATGGCTTCAAAAGTCAGCCTTGTCATCATGTTGCCTTGATGTGTATGGATATGTGATGTTAAGTAAAACGTATTACCTCTCAAGTCCTACATTTTCCTGAATTGTAGATAGTCTTTAACTTACTTTTTTATTCTTAATGGTTACACTCTTTTTTCTTTTTTACAAATAATTTTAACTTTTATCTTAGATTCAAGTGATGTGAAGTTTTGTTGCATGGGTATATTGCGGAATGCTTAGATTTGAATGATCCCATCACCCAGAGAGCATAATATTCAACAGTTAGTTTTTCAACCCTTACCTCCTTCCCCCTTCTGTTAGTCCCCTGTGTCTGTTAATGCCATCTTTATGTCCATGAGTATTCAATGTTTAGCTCCCACTTACATGTGAGAACATGCAGTATTTGGTTTTCTGTTCCTGCATTAATTTGCTCAGTATAATGGCTTCCAGCTGCATGTGTGTTGTTCCAAAGAACATGATTTCATTCTCTTTAATGGCTGTGTAGTATTCGATGATGTATATGCACCACATTTCCTTTATTGAATCCACCATTGATAAGCACTTAGGTTGATTCCATGTCTTTGCTATTGTGAATAGCATGGTGGTAAATATATAAGTACATGTGTCTTTTGGTAGAATGATTTATTTTCTTTTGGATATGTACCTAGTAATGGGGTTGCTAGGTCAGGTGATTTATTTTCTTTTGGATATACACCTAGTAATGGGAATGTTGGGTCAGATGGTATTTCTGTTTTAAGTTTTTTGAGAAATATTCAAACTACTTTCCACAGTGGGTGAAATAATTTATATTCCCACCAACAGTGTATAAGATTTCCCTTTTCTCCACATCCTTGCCAGCATCTGTTGTTTTCTGACTTTTTCTTAATAGTCATTCTGGCTGGTATGGGATGGTATCTCACTGTGGTTTTGATGTTCATTTCTCTGGTGATTAGTGATGTTGAGAATTGTTTCATATGTTTGTTGACCATTTGTATGTCTTCTTTTGAGAAGAATCTGTTCTTGTCCTTTGCCCTCTTTTTAATGGGGTTATTTGTTTTTTTGCTTGTTTCACTAAGTTCCTTATAGATCCAGATCTATATCCGGATATTAGAACTTTGTTGGATGCATAGTTTACAAGTACTTTCTCCCATTAGTCTTTAACTTTTCATGAATATGTTATTTATTTTATGCTTTGTTTCCCAAATAAATTTCAAGTGCTAGAATATGAATTTATTATCTCTTTATTTGATTGTAAAGTACTGGCATGAAGCATGCTCTTTTAATTTCTGTGCTTCCGGGACTCCTAATGGAATGCCAGCTTAATACAGTGATGAATAAATATGTGTTGAAAAGAACACAAGAAGCTTTTGTAAAATTTTATTAAGAAATGGTATTAAGTTTAATTTTTTAAAAATGAGATTTAAGAAAACATTTATGTTATTGGCTCAAGATAATTGTTAAATATTCAAATGTGTAAATGATCTCTCAACTATCAGCTATTTTTTTATTTTCTCTGCTAATCCAGTTAGAAACACAGCATTAGAAAAACTCAATATGAAGTAATATCACCTCAAAGAAGCAATGTTTTCACTAGGTAGTGTGGAAAATGATAAAATGGTTCTAGTCCTTTTCCATTTTATTTGTTAAGTAATTCAGATAGACAAAAGTGTATAGAGACTGATATAATAAACATCTATCAACCAGCAAAATAAAAACTTGGGAATGGCAATGAAGGAGAAATGAATGGTGGTACTCTCAGGTGGCTGTTATGGGACCACCCAGGGACAGCATCAGAATTTGGAGCCACAGCAGAGTGGGATGCAGGGGAAGGAAGAGCCTTCTGTGAGAAGGAGGTGGGAGCTGGTGAGCGCCCTAAAACCTTTTCACACTTGCTTATGGCTCCAGAAAGTGTGGGTGTCTCCCAGGGGCTTGTGCAGTATGGTACTGAAAGGGTCTCTGGTTGGCCTCATAGTTGGAAAGTTCAGGAGTAGTTGGAAGCACTTCATAACTCCTTGCTTTAAGAAAATCCCTAGATATTCCTAGCTGGAAATTTATGCAATTGGATTGCCCCAGATTTCCCTGAAGAAGACGGGACTTCTTGGGGTCTTCTGCAAAGGAATAAATCATTTGGAAACCATGGCACTCTGGATATTGTTTCTGAGAATTTTTATAAAAGTTGGGGGGACAAAAATGTGGGTATAGGAGAGCATGACATTAACTTGGGACACAGCAGGGAAATGACTGATCCAGGTGCCTGATTCCTCTATTGGGCTCTTAGGAGAGCCTCTCTCCAGAAAGATCCAGGATCACCGGAGGGGCAAGTAGCAAGGCGTGAGGGCAGGTTTTGGGAGCAAGATGACCTTAGCACTGAATAGGGCAGCCTTGATGGGCCTTGTTGGCTAACTGAGGACAGAGGACAACATTCTATCCACAGGCAACTCCTCTTTCAGAGAGAGAGCCCAGAAGAGTACCTTAAAGAAAAAAACTCAAATTGTATATTGAAAAAAACCTGAAAGAACCCAAAAATCTATTTCTGTGAAATTTAAAAATCTAGATTATTTACCAAGAAAAAGGAAAAAGGAAAACCAGCAGTGATAATTGTGATTCTCCAGAGGCAGAAAAAACACCTCTGAAGTTGAATGTTTATCCTTTTGGCTCTAACCAAAGATTAACTATGTTAAATTACGTGTTAAACGTAAGAGAAAGGTGGGATCCACTCTTGGAAGACCATTTAACAAGTTTGCTTCAGTTATCTTCACAGCAGTTTCTTCTGCAAGGATTGCTCATAGAATCAATTCATTTCACTACCACGGACTGTGAAGGAAAGATCAGCAATTCATTGCCAGTTCTTGCTTAAAGTATAGAATTGGCTTGCTCATGTTGGGAGACAGCTTGAGATTCTCTACTTTAACCCCTTAAATTCTCAAGAGAGGGAATTAAGGTCCTGAGAGGCAAATGACTCACCCAGGAGCATAGCTGCCAATGACAGCTGGGGCTGGAATCGGATTTCCCGACACTCCACCTAACGTCTTTTCTAAGTGCAACTTAAAATTTCTTGTGGTTTGGAGAACATGTTAAGCATTAGCCTATCTGTGAAATATGATTAAGATAATATTGACCTCAGGTTAGGAAATCACTTGTCCAGATGTAATAAAACCTTTTCAGGGGCAGGAAAAGATGTACACCAGCCCATATTTATGTATTGCCTGTCATGGGAAGGGAAGACAGGCGATGTTTCCAAAGCCAATTTTAGGCCTTATGTTCATCCTAAAAGACACATTCGTGATTATTAGGAGCACAAGTAATTATAGTCCTCTTCTGTTTTCTGTAGCAGCAGAGAAGGAAGAGAGCAAGTATGAGATTAGTTCTTTGGGTTTTGCTGCTGCTTCTTTTCTTTTTCTTTTTCTTTTTCTTGTTGTTATTATTATTATTATTATTATTATTATTATTATTCTAGAGACAGGGTCTCACTCTGTTTCCCAGGCTGGAGTGCAGTGGCACAACTCATTTTAACCTCAAACTCCTAGGCTCAAGCAGTCCTTCTACCTAAGACTCCCCAGTAGCTGGGACTACATATGTGCACTACCATGCCTGGCTAGTTAAAAAAAAAAAAAAAAAAAAACTTATTGTAGTGGTGTGGTGGGGGTGGGGGACAGTCTTTCTATGTTGCCCAGGCTGGTCTTAAACTCCTAGTCTCAAGAGATTCTCCGGCGTTGGTCTCCCAAAGTGCTGGGATTACAGGCATGAGCCACTATGCCTGGCCTGACTTTCATTTGTAATGATGTTCCTGGATTGGGTGGGGAGGGAGTGGTCAGGAGGCAGAAGTTAGGAGAAATTGAGGTTGCAATTCAGCTTCCCTTTTACATAGAACATATGCCCCAATCTGCTTTTCTACAAAGTTATACAACAGGTACTTAAAAGTATCACTGAATCCGGTAGACTGGAAGGCTACTTGTTCAGATGTTATATGCAGATATCATGAAACAGGAGCAAAAAAGGTGACTTAGTTTTAATCTCCCTTTTCCATTCCGGTGGTTCTGTCATTTTATGCAAGTCAGAATCCCTTTGATAAGGATAGAGTGAAATGGGAAAGGGAAGTGGTAGAGGAGGGGAAACAAAAACTTCAAGGGAAAGAATCTGATATTACTGTTCTTTACAGCAGACGCCAGCCCCAAGGTACACACTTCTTACATACAGCATGTTACATATACAACCAACACATACAGGCATTTAGCTAGTTTGGATTTATTGTTGTTTGCTATTATAGACATACATTTGTTGAATTACGTAGCTTTGTTTCTTGTTGTTCATCTACTTTATATAAGAAAACTTAGCAATAATTCACCTAGTAATGTTTTAAGAAGATGACCAGAGAGAGTGGGAGGATAGGAAAACAAGTATTTGAATACATTGGATAGGCTTCAAATTTCTGGAGAATTTTCATTTTGAGGGTCAGCTAAATTCAGCCTGATGTATATGCTTTTTACGAAGCATTCTCTGTCTGATCGCCCCATAAGTGTCTCACATTCAGGGACCTCATTATTATCTTTATCATGTAATTTTACAATAATTTATGATTCTATTGGACTTAAGCATTTATGTAAACATCAGCTCCCTTCATCATCATAGTTGTAAATGGGGCAAATCTTAAAAAAAATTGAACTTGGAATTTAAAAATCTAATATACATTTCTAGCTCTGCCATTTGCCTATTTATCAAGTTTGGATGAATTATAAGATCTCTTTGAGCCACATTTTCCTCATCATAAGACAGAGACAGTAAACACTTTTTCTATCCCCCTCAGGGTGGGAGGGTGAGAAGGATTACATGAGACAATGTGTATAAGTGCAGAAAGTATTATAGGTTTGTGACGTGTTGATTGACATTGTTGCAGATGACAGAATGAAGGCTCAAAATGTTCAGTTAGTAAATGGAGAGTCATCACAAAGACAGATAAATGTTATCCCTGGGACTTCATATTTAAAAAGGTCTGAAGGCTATTAACAAGTGTGGATAAGAGGTCTTGGTTCTGAAGTTCAGGAAGAACTTATAAGAGGTCCATGTAGCTAACTAATTCATAAATAAGGGCCACTAGTGCCTTTAATATATATTTTAAATTTTGAATTTTAGTTAATGGGAAAAGACTTTGTGAATACCTCAAAAACTTGATGTTACTAATTTGCAGGTAGGAATTTAAATGAAAGTTATCAGCAGAAAATCTTATTTCCTTCCTGTATAAAAACAAGATAAATTGTGGTGACCCTGATGATGTTTACCCAAAAACAACTACAGAATTACTATGTATTCAACACTTCAGATGTTTCAGTGTGACAGTGGCCTCACTTCTTGTGCAAATGCTTAGAGTACTTTTCTACCACTAGATGGAGACATAACCATAACGGATCAAAGTCCGCTTAGCTGTTTAAAAGAAAAAAAAATACCTTACCTTCCAGTAACCGCACATGCAAAAGGGCATATTCATTAGCAATACAATGTGATAACTTTGTTTGATATTTTGATATACTTGCTTGAATTTTTAATATTTCAGAAATGTGAAATATTGCCACCTGTGAAGTTTCCAAGTACTTTCTAGATGGCGTTTTTTTAACCTCAAATCTCTAGAATTGGGTAGCAGAAGACAGTTATAAAAGCAAAATAATGTAAAACACTATATATATGGTTTTTAGAATACTGTGAAGAATGTATTTTCTATTAAGGAACATTAAAAGATCTAATAAACATAATAACAGAAAACTTCTCTAAAGCACAATGTTCTCCCTCTGAATTCAGAGATTTTTTTTTTTTTCCAGAATAATCCTAGGTAGATGTAGTTGCTTTATGGACTCTGCCTGAAAGTCTGTGACCCTATTCACTCTATAGATTCAAGGTTATCTTAAAACTAGGGAGAATCTCCTTTATTATTTATATATTTATTGCCTACAATGAAAATGTTTTATACATGTGATTGTATACTTATATATGTACTATGTTAGGTCTAGGTCATTCTTGCATTGCTCTGAAGAAATACCTGATACTGGGTAATTTATCAGAGAAGAGGTTGAATTGGCGCATGGTTCAGCAGGCTGTACAAGAAGCATAGTGGTATCTGCTTCTGGAGAGGCCTCAGGAAGCTTCCAATCATGGCAGAAGGCAAATGGGAGAAAAGGTATGTCACATGGTGAAAGAAGGAGCAAGAGGGAGAGTGGTGGTGGGGGGTGCCAGGCTCTTTTAAACAGACAGATGTAATGAAAACTCCCTCACTATCATGAGAACACTACGAAGTGGATGGTGCTAAACCATGCATTAGAAATCTGGCCCTGTGATTCAATCACCTCCCTCGAGGTCCCACCTCCAGCATCAGAGATTATAATTCAACATGTGATTTGGGTGGGGACAAATATCCAAACTATATCATGTATATATGTATATGTAAATTTATATATATCTATATTTTTATATAATGTAAAGAAGTTACCTGCTAATATGAAGCATATACAAAAAGAAAAAGCTATTTTTAATTAAAGGAGGTAACATTATATAATGTATATTATAAAAGTGAGATTTATAGGTTAAGCATTATATATACTTAAATGTTATCAGAAACTGCCAGATTACTTTCCAATTACTTTTTCGATGTAGAAATTCATACTTCTATCACTGATGTATACCTTTGTTTTACCAAAATCTTTTCAACATTGAATGCTTAAAGTTTTGCCAATCTGATAAAGACTAATTTAAAATTTTCTACTTGCACATCTCTAAATGCCTGTGAGGTTGAATTCTTTCCATATATTTGTTAGCTACAGGCAATTTTCCCTCTGTAATTATCTATTGCTTCATTTTTGTCCAATGTTTTGTCTTTTCAGTTTGTAGAATTCATAATATATTGACCATTAATCAGTTGCAAATATTTTCTCTCTAGCTTACATTTACTTTTGCCACATAATTTTAATGTAATTAAATCTATTTCTTCATGTTTTCTGAGTTTTGTTATGTTGAAGTTTATCCGATTGTTATTCTCAATTTTTACAGTGTGTGTGTGTATCACACATACACAATAGAGAATAAAATCATATATGTGTATTTAAGTTTTAGTATATACTCCACCTGGATTTTCCTTATACAACCGATGTGTGCAACCATCTTTCTTCCAGAACTGTATACATTTATGCTGGCCTCATTTTTAAAATACAACATCAATTTCTAATAGACTGAGATGTCAAGTTCATCCTAAATTAAATTTTTATATCGCATTGTATCTGTTTTGTTTTATATTATTTCATTTTATTGGCTTATCTATTATAAAATGTATGTTAGTACCCTTTATGCTTAATTTAATTTTACAGTTTGAGACATCTTGTTTTAAGAAATTACAGATATAAAACAATAACTAGTCTTAAAAATTAATGACAGCACTCTCAAATTTAGTAAGACTCCTGCACTTCGGTTAGTAAAGATGAACAATTATTACTTGTTCCCCTTTCTGAGGCATCAGAAGTTACAAATCAAGGCAATTGGTATTTTTCCTGGAACCTAAATACAACACAGAGCTTTTTGTTTTAATAATTTTTCCACAATGAATAGTTCAATTGTTTTGATTTGACTTTTTTCTCTACAATAAATCATTGTTTTCTTGGTAGCAGAAATGAGCGTATTGCCTCATTGCAAATTACCTAAACTTAGCTTAAAGGCCTTTTTCTCTGAGTGGGACTTACGGTAAGGGAAAGCCTGCAGTGGCTGCTTAACTATGCTAGCCTGGCTAAAATGTGTTTCTCCCCATTCCTCCTACAAACACTCAGAACCACTATTGTGTAAAAGTCATCCCGTAGATGGTAACATGTCCGCTGAAAATATGGGTCTCTGATTGGTAGTTTTAGTACTTTTAGCCCCAGATAAAATATTTAAATTCACATATCTGTTTCATCAGAGATATAAATTCTTGTGAGTCTTACATTTAAGGAAGAGCTTTAGATTTTTCTTTCTCATTTTCAAAGGATAAAATAAGACCCCATGCGGTGGCTCGCGCCTGTAATCTCAGCACTTTGGGAGGCTGAGGCGGGAGGATCGCTTGAGATCAGGAGTTTGAGACCAGCCTGGCTAACATGGTGAAACCCTGTCTCTACTAAAAATACAAAAATTAGCTGGGCGTGGTGGCAGGTGTCTCTGGTCCCAGCTACTCAGAAGGCTGAGGCAGCAGAATCACTTGAATCTGGGAGGCTGAGGTTGCAGTGAGCTGAGGTTGTGCCATGGCACTCCCGCCTAGGTGACAGAGTGAGACTCTGTCTCAAAACAAAAACAAACCAAAAGGATAAAATAAAACTTATAGCTTTGTTGGATTCTTATTCGGAGAATTAAAGATTCTTTGTCTCTTTTAAATAAACAGTTGTCTGGAGACTACACAATTCAGCTCTGATGGAGATATGCAATGACAAACGAAGGTAAGGTTAACCTCCATGGGCGGCTCAAGGGGAGGAGCGCCCCCTGCCGTCTGTCCCTAACCTGCTCAGAAGAACATTGGCAGGAGCTGTCCATGCCTGAGACAATCTGCAGAGCCGTCAGGATAAAGAGAACTTCAGGTATGTGTGACTGTTGCTGGTTGTTACCAACCAGTTGGATCTTTAGGACCCAGGTTTTCTTTTTTAATGACAGGAGGAAGTCTGCACACCTTCAAACTTAAGGAAGAGTGGTCTGCGTTTCTGGTTTGATAGTTCACTAGGTTAGAGCCCTAGTCTGATTGAAGGCAGGCAATCGTTTCCTTCTGGGTGCAAACTGAGGGCCCAGTAGAGGGCAGTGTGGGTTCTGCAGTATGGGTGGCCAGCAGCACAGCTCTACAGCTCTGCCGCTCTGTAGGCAAACCTCTGACCTCCCCAGATTCTTCCAGTAGTAGCAGGGCAGCAGGGCGTGGCCACCCCCTGGTGGATAAATACAAAGCCATGTTCCAGTTCCTCAAAGCTCACTCAGGGAAGTGAGGGAGCTCTGGGTGGGACAGTCCCCAAGGCCAGCCTCTGCCTGCTGCGGTTTACCTTCCTATCTGATATGGTTAGACTTTGTGTCCCTGCCTACATTTCATCTTGAATTGTAATCCCCAGGTGTTAAGGGAGAGACTGGTTGGGTGGTGATTGGATCCTGGGGGCAGTTTCTTCCATGCAGTTCTTGTAATAGTGAGGGAGTTATCATGAGCTCTGATGGTTTTATAAATGGCAGTTTCACCTGGACTTTTCCTTCTCTCTCCTGCTGCCATGTACGATATGCTTGCTTCCCCTGCCACTGTGATCGTAAGTTTTCTGAGGCCTCCCCAGCCATGTGGAACTGAGCCGATTAAACCTTTTTCCTTTATAAATTACCCAGTCTTGCGTATTTCTTTATAGCAGTGTGAGAACATACAAATAATACACTGTCTCTTTCCTTTATTTTCCTTGTACAAAAAAACATAGCTATAACCTCCACTTTGCTCAAGCATTTGATGCTTCACTTTTAGTGAAATTCTCTCACTAAAGGCAATCAGTTCTTCTCTGCTAAATAAAAGCCCATGAGTTAAAACATGGGGAAGGGGGAGTCCAAGTGAAATCCAGGCATCCTAAACAGGGACTGTAGCTTTTTAGGCACAGAGGCAGTTTGGCATCTCCATATTTCCTGAGACAGGAAATAAGTATATGGATAATAACCCTGATATATTCTGAGCAGAACCCAGTTTCTGTAGAGAAAAAGTTGATGAAGATCAGTTTGTATATTTAATTCTTAAATACAAAGGCAATAATGTCTCTCAAATGCAATGCAATTTCCATAGTATTAGTATAGTATAAAAAGACCATTAACTGCTTATATCAATCTGGGAGGACTTTCAAAGATTTGGACAAAATCAAGATAACATTCCTAATGTTCTAAATGCACTATCTCTGAAACAAAACCAAACCAGTGAAAAACAACAAAACTTCTATAAGTTAAGGGGAAGTAGAAGTACATGTCTTGCAATTACTGTGTTTGCAAAGATAACCATTATTTATATAAGACAAAGAAATAAATATTCAGAGGACCAAAATGCCGATGTATTAAATTGTGTTATAACATCACTGGTTAAACATAACCAATGACAAAAGGAAAAATAAAATACATACACGTAAGTGTGTAGGAAAATCTAAATTATTAATGAATGTTTTTCTTTCTTAGTATAAATGCTTTCTATTCTTTAGGAAGTTTTTGGATGAGGAAAAGGGAAACTAACTTTGACATAAAGCCCTCAGTATCACTGATGATTTACAAGGCAGAAAAAGATATATAAATTAACAACCCATCAATTAATAGTATGGAAAAGGAAAAGGAGAAAAACTAACACCAGAGATGTTAGATCCAACCTGTTTTTTGTTGTCAGAAAATAATATTTAAACTGATAATATACACATAAAAGATAGTTAAAAGGTGCTTTACTTTTATTTGTGTATATTTAATGTAGTAAACACATAGCTTACTACATGCCAGGAACTATTCTAGGTACCCTACAGCTATTGGCAGAGAGTCTGGCTTGCAGACGGCCACCTTCTGGTTGTGTGTTCACATGGAGGGGAGAGTGGGGGGGGAAAGAGAGAGAGAGAGAAAGTTCTTAGGTCTCTCCTTATAAGGGCATTAATCCCATCAGGAGGACTGCACCCTCATGAACTCAGCTAAGCCTCATCACCTCCCAAAGTCCCCACCTCCAAATACTATCACACTGAGTATTCAGGATTCAACATAAGAACTTTGCAGGGGCAGGATTCAGTCCGTCATGGCCATCTTACAAGTGATACTTTGACACGTGAAGAAATGACCCTACTCCATTTGGCAGCTCCTCCTGAATCCACCAAGGTCCAATTATTTGGGGTATAGTTTTTATGAAATGGTATTTCTTTTTTTAATACTGTATTAAAGCAACTGAGATTCTCTCTCTCTTTTTTTTTTTTCTTTAGATTGACTAGAGATTATTACATCTTTCCTGTTCAGCGCTCTGGGCTACCAACTGTCCATTCCCAACTCTAGGGTTTGCAAATATGTGTGGACCTTTGTGACAGCCCTTGCCGGGTGTTCCAACTGTGATGATACATCTGGCACCTCTGGACTATGGCCCATGAGGATGGGGAGGGTGGTAACAGATGTCCTTTTTACTGTGTGCCCCTACTATGGCACCCAGGGCAGTCACCGCCTTTTCCAGCCTCCCACCCCCACCCCCACCACTGGCTCCACCACATGTATCAGGCTGTTCTCTCCCTAAAGCTTTCTAAAACAGCAATGGACCCTTCCTTTCAATGCCCTGTTTCCAACGCAGGTAGAAATGGGGCACTTTCCTGGGTTCATCTTAAGCCATTCCAGCAGAGGGGTGGACATTTCTTGTGGGGATGGAGCTGCTCTATTACTCCTCACAAGATTTGACCTCCCACTCATGTCTGAAAAAGTGGTTCTCACACTTGGCTATATGTGAGTCATCTGTGATCTTTTACAAATTATGGGTTTTATTTTTCCTACTGGAAAATCTGACTCAGGTGATTTGGATCTATGACTAATGTCAAAGTCAAGTAAAACTAGAGATGAATCTCTAAATTTAAAATGTTTTATTTGGGAAGCAAGACTTATAATTTGGGGTATACACACAGACTGGGTGGTCCATGGTATGTCTGTAAAACAAAGAGGTTAGAGGTTTCATAAAAAAAAGATAAATGTTGCATATTATTTTGTAAGAAATTTTATTGGCACTAGTACGGTTTGGGGGAGCTGGCAACTTCTGATTGGCGAGTGACAGACTTGGGTAAAACTCCTGTTAGAGTCACAGTAGGTTGTTTCAGTAATTAGATAAAGCTAATTTCAGTTTACAGAGGCAGTTTCAGCAACCAGGTTTGTATAGAATTGCATTCTTTGGTCAATGTTATGTGTCCTGAGTGCCTTCTCCCTCTGGCCAATGGACTCTGTTTTAGCTGCATTATGATAAAAATGACCCAATTCATATGATCAACTTTTATGCCAAGCATCTATATGTCTGAAGAAGTGACACTGATACATAGCGCAACTTGGGGAATCACTCCCTACCTTATAGAATCCTTTGCCTTGATCCAATAATTTTGTAAGTATAAAAGCATTAGGTATAAAAGGAAATGACTAGCAGTTGACTCTATTTGGATTTATTAAGTATAAAGCATAATGGGTATATGACCTCCGCCTTTTTTATCCCAGGACATCTAAAGGGAATATGTTTTAGAGCTGGAAAAGTATGATAAAATAAATGAGGGTTAGAGATAAAACCTCCACAGAAGTTGCAAATGGGTTTTGAATGTTCTTATTGTATTGAGTTCTTTGAAACATAATTTATAATGGAAAAATAATCTCAGTGATATTTTTAATAAGAACTATTTCTTACTTTTAAATAATGTTTTAATTTTATGGATACATAATAGTTGTACATATTTATTGTGTATATGTCATATTTTGATACAAGAGCACAATGTATAATTACCAAAGCAGGGTAATTGGTATATCCATCACCTCAAACATTTGTCATTTCTTTGTGTTGGGAATATTCCAAATCCACTCCTCTAGTTATTTTTAAATACACAATAAGTTATTTTCCCTATTGTGTTACTGAACTCTACATCTTATTCCTTCTATCTAACCGTATAATTTTTGTATTCATTGAACAATCTCTCTTTATCATCCCTCCCCAATACCCTTCCCAGCCTCTGGTGACTATCATTCTACCCTCTACCTCCATTAGATTGTTTTTTTTAGCTTTGACATATGAGCAAGAACATGTAATATTTTTTTTCTGTCTCTGGTTTATTTCATTTAACACAGTGACCTTCAGTACCATCCATGTTGTTGCAAATGACAGGATGTCATTCATTTTTATGGATGAATAATATTCTATTGTGTATGTGTGCTACATTTTCTTTATCCATTCATCTGTTGATGGACACTTAGGTTGATTCTTTATCTTGGCTATTGTGAATAGTGCTGCAATAAACATGGGAGTGCAGATATCTCTTTGATATGCTGGTTTTCTTTCTTTTGAATATATTCCCAGTAGTGGCATTGCTGGATCATATGGTAGTTCTATTTTTTTTTTTCCATGCTGAACCTCTGCACTGATTTCCATAAATGGCTGTACTAATTTACATTCTCACCAACAGTGAGAATTAGTGTACACATTAGTGTAAATGGCTTTTTGATGAAAGTCATTTAAACTGGGGTAAGATGATATCTCATTGTGATTTTGATTTGCATTTCCATGACAATTAGTGATGTTGAGCACTTTTCAGATATCTGTTGACCATTTGTATGTCTTCCCTTGAGAATTATCTATTCAGATCTCTTGCCCATTTTTAAATCCAGTTATTTGATTTTTGCTATTGAGTTGTTAGAGTTCCTTACGTAGTCTGGTTATTAATCTTGTCAGTGCAATAGTTTGCAAATATTTTCTCCCATTTCGTGGGTTGTCTTTTCATTTTGTTGATTGTTTCCTTTGCTGTGCAGAAGCTTTTTAGCTTTATGTGATCCTGCTTATTTCAGCTTTCATTGCTTGTGCTTTTGAGCTCTTACTCAAGAAATCTTCACTTCACTTAATGTCCTAAAGCATTTCCTCAATGCTTTCTTCTAGTAGTTTTACAATTTCAGGTCTTAGATTTAAGTATTTAATCTATTTTAATTTGATTTTTGTTTATGAGGAGAGACAGGGGTTTAGTTTCATTCTTTTGCATATGGGTATCGAGTTTTCCTAGCATCATTTACTGAAGACACTGTCTTTTCCATGATGTATGTTTTTGGTACCTTTTTTTGAAAATGAACTAACTGTAAATGCAGGATTTATTTCTGGATTCTCTATTCTGTTCCATTGGTCTACATGTCTGATTTTTATGCCAGTACCATGCTGTTTTGGTTACTGTAGCTTTGAAATATAATTTGAAGCCAACTAATGGGATGCCTCCAGCTTTGTTCTTTTTGCTCAGGATAGCTTTGTCTATTCTGGGCCTTTTGTGATTTCCTATTTCTGTGGATTATATTCTGTAGGATTGTAATTCCTATTTCTGTGAAAAATATTATTGATATTTTGTAGGAATTGCATTGACTCTGTAGATTGCTTTGGGTAGTATGGATATTTTAACAATATTGATTCTTCTAATGCATGAACATGGAATACCTTCCAAGTTATGTCTTTTTCAATGTCTTGAATCAGTGTTTTATAGTTTTCACTGTAGAGATCTTTCACTTCTTTGATTAAGTAGATTTCTAGGGTTTTTTTTTTTTTTTTTTTTTTTTTNTTTTTTTTAGATTGTTTGCTGTTGGCATATGGAAATGCTACTGATTTTTGTGTATTGATTTTGTATCCTGCAAATTTAATGCATTTGTTTATTAGTTCAAATAGTTTTTTAGTGAAGCTTTTAGGTTTTTCAAACTATAAGATAATATCTGCAAGCAAGAATAAATTTTTCTTTCTATTTAAATGCCATTTCTTTCTTTCTCTTGCCTAATTGCTCTGACTAGGACTTCCAGTACAATTTTGAATAGATGTGGTAAAAGTGGGAATCTTTGTCTTGTTTATCAATTTTATTTTTTTAAAGACTCAGCTTTTTATTTCATTGATTTTCACTATTATTTTTGTTTTCTATTTTAATTTTTACACTTATTTTTATTTCCTTTCTCTCTTAATGTTAAAATTAATTTTTATTTCCCTTCTTCTACTTGATTTTTCTTTACCTTTCCACTCTGGAAGAGGCATTTTGTAGAGTGTTGCTCAAGTTGTCTTTTTTCTGATACTTCCTCATATTTTGATTCAGATTATGATTTTTGGCAGCAATACCACAGAAATGACAGAGTTCTTCTCAATATATCCTATCAGGAGGAACTAGGTATTATTTATCCCATTATCAGTGATGTTTATTTTGATCACTTGGTTACAATAGTGTCTGTTAGGTTTTTGCTCTGCAAAGTTACTATTGGCAATTAAAAAGTATTTTGTGGGGGAAAAAATTAAGGACTATATAATGATCTACTTCCCATCAGACTTTTACTAATTTAGCATCCATTGATTCTTGCCTGAAATAATTATACTGTGATGGCTGCCAAATGCTGACTTTCTAATTGCATGATTAGCTCTACATTGGAATCTTGCTATAAAGAAGGTGACTTTCTTTTCTTTATTTATTCATTTATACCAGTATGGACTCAAATTCTTATTCTATGTGCTATGATCCACTGCCATCATTATTTGTTTATTTGCTGTAATTGTTTCAGATTTGGTCAGTGGGAGCTTGTTCATGTTGGCTTCTGAATCCATTTGACATGTCACTATCATTTTTTCTGTACTTATTTTTAAAACGCTTAATTCGTGATATCACAAGATGTTCCAGGCTCATCTTTTACTTTCCCTACCCCAGCCTGGAGATCAGCCATTTCTTCCAGAAGCCCTGTTTTTTTTTTTTTTTTTTTTTGAATACTCTAATATGCAATGAATAAAAAGGCAGAAAACTCAGAATTACAATAAACGTTAGGCTCTTTCAGAACACCAGTTTTTCACACCTATTTTCTTAGCATACAGCAGCTCAAAAACCATACATTAAGCATAGTTTGAATTGTCCTGAAGTTATATTCTGAAGGGATTGTAACACTTAAGAACTGACAATATTAAAAAGGCAAAAGCATTATAACTCAGCGCACAAGACTTCTTCATCTACAAAATGTGAGAATGTCAGTGCTTTATTTGCTACAAGGATAAGGAGGGACACATGAGTGAAATAAATTTGATAATATGATCTACACTTCATTACAACTGATTTTCCTAATCTCACAAATTTCACATTTGGCCGAGTGAAACAGAAAAAACAACAACAACGACAACAACGACGACAAAAAATCGGAACTTTCACTAGTTTTAAGTAGGCCAACTCACATAATCCCCCAAATGAGAGCGTTTAAATGAGAATGAGTACATTTTTCTAGCTGGGAGAATATTTTCTTTAATTAAGTGAGTTTAAATAATTTACCCATCATTATGAATAAGCCCTTGGGCTAGGCTCTGGAGAGATACTAAAGTCGTACTGGAAATTTACGAAGTCTAAATGAACCCTTTCTCTCCAGCTTCAAACTTAGATAAGGTGTGAAGTGTCAGGGATGTGCATGAACCTTCAAAAACTGACATTTTCATCCGTGTTCTTCCCCTTTCCATCTCCTGCGAGACAAAATATAAGGAAATACAAGTGCTTGGTACTACAGGATTTTGAGGCTTAAAAGCTCAATACTAAGCACGGTGTATTGGTTGTCGAAGGGGATCACTTTCTAAATAAACATCACCAGAAGAATCTCTACAAAGGATGAAGTCACTCTCCCTCCCCAGAGGCTACGAGGGAAAAGGGAGGCACATATTTCCCCGGTTTGCAAGTGAGGTCTCCCTTTCTCTGCCTTGGGAGGTGGCTGGGAGAAAAGGCAACGCTCAGTCCTCCACGGGAAAGTCTTTGGTCTTCTCCTCCTGGCCTCCCACTTTGTAGCGCAGCAGCACGTGCAGGCGACGGGGGTTGTCCCGGGAAGGCAGCAGCGTGATCTCTCCTGAAACGTCCGTGTCTTGCTCCACTTGCACCGGCTCGTTCAGGTAGAGGAGCGCCTGTTTCCAGTGCGTGACCAGGTGAAAAGGCGAGGAGGACCGGGGGTTTCCCGACTCCCCTCCAGGGACGGTCACCTGGAACCAGATGGCAAAGCCGAGCCTGGGCGCCCAGCCATAGCAGCTGCAGCGGAGGCGCCCGCCCACTCCGCGCTCCAGCTCCCGAGCCAGGCCCGCGCCGGGAGAGCTCTAGCTGAGCAAAGCGCGGCGGCCGGGCCGGCAAGTCCTCGCCAGACCGTCCCTGCACCACGATCTCCGAGAGGCCCAGGAGGCAGCGCGTGGCGAAGCCCTGCAGGCAGCTCACGTCCGCACCACAGTGCTGCTTCTCCAAGCTGCAGAAGCCCAGGCGCCATTCCAGCATCTGGTCGCTGACAGGGGCCATGAAGAGCTCGGCGGAGGCCGCAGGAGAAGGCCGTCTTCCTTCAGCCACTTGGTTCGCGCGTGGAGGACGGGGCTCAGCAGGGACTCGTGCAGGAGTCCGTAGCCCATCCACTCGCTCACGATGGCCGCCACCTGCTCCGGCAACTCCAGTCTCCACCGGGCCCGGCAGGACGTGCACCCGGTCCTCCAGCCCGTGGAAGGGCACCACCTCCCGGGCCTGTTGCCAGATGGCGCTGGCCTTTACGCGGCGGGCGCCGGCCTGGGGGCACAAGATGCTCAGAGTGCCGGTGTTCGCGCCCACGTCCAGTACCGTTTTGCCTCGCAGTGCTGCGCAGTTCCGCAGGATGCCCAGGCAGTAGGCATCGGTCGGTAGATGATCGCGGACGCGGTCTGCGATCATCTCCTCGTGGACGCAAACGTCCGAGTAGCACTCGTAGTACAGCTGGTCCCGCTCCGGCTTAGCCCTCCCCGGTCGCTCCAGGGCCGCCTCCCGCTCCGCACCGTCTTCCTCTTCAGTTCCCTCCCCTCCTTCGCCGCCCCCCGCTCCCCTCCGCCCCCCACTCAAGCTTTCTTTTCTTGGGCTGCGACATCTTGGCCGCTCCGGCTTCCTATATAGTTTTTTTTTTAACTGGAGAAAGATATTTAGAAATCTGGATCCGAATATAAAAATTATCCAGGTGTAGTGGTGTGTGCCTGTAATCCCAGCTACTCCGACCGCTGAAGCTGGAGAATTGCTTGAACCCAGGAGGCAGAGATTACAGTGAGCCAAGATCATGCCACCACACTCCTGCCTGGGTGATAGAGTGAGACTGTCTCAAAAAAAAAAAAAAAAAAAAATCTGAATCTGGGGTCTGTTTGTAGGCTTTTCCAAGAAGACATATTATATATATATTTATATAAGTATATGCAAAAAGTATATAATATGTAATATAGCATATATAATATACGTAACACAAAACATTTATAAGTATATAATTTATATATTACATATGTTTATATAATGTATATTAATATATTTTACATATTAATATATAAAATGCAAAATATATTGAAATAGTTTATATATAATGTATATGTATGTGTATATACCCACACAGCCACAACATACATATATATACACACACATGAATATATATACACACATATATATGCACACACAGATGTTGTGATAGCTAATTTTATGTGTCAGCCTGACTGGGTTAAGTGACAGGCCCGTGGCTGGTAGAACATTATTTCTGGGTGTGTCTGTGAAGGTGTTTGCAGAAGAGATGAGCACCTAAGGCAGCGGATTGAGTAAAGACCAGCCCTCGCAGTGTGGGTGAGCATCATTCAGTCCATTGAGGGCTCACCTGAATAGAACAAAGAAGTGGAGGAAGGACGAATTCTTACCTTCTCTTCTGGAGCTGGAACGTCCATCTTCTACTGCCCTCAGACATCAGAACTCCTGCTTCTCAATCCTTTGAACTCCAGGACTTGTATCTGCACACCAGCAGCCCCTGGTCCTTGGGCCTTAAGCCCTAGATTGGGAGTTACACCATCGACTCCCCTGTTTCTCAAGACTTCAATCTCAGAATTGCACCACCAGCTTTCCTGGGATTCCAGCTTGAAGATGGCATATCATGGGACTTGTAGGTCTCCATAATTGCATGAGCCAATTTCCATAATAAATCTCTTCATATGTCTCTCTATATGTATCTTATTGGTTCTGTTTCTTTGGAGAACCTAATACAGATATGGACACTCGTGTGTGTGTGTGTGTGTTTCTCTGTGTATCAGTTTTTATGTTCAAAATCATGAGTTTATACTGGTAACTTAAATTACAAATACTGCAGGCTCTGTGCTAGTGTTCCCTTATTTGTAATTCCCTTCAACAGTGAGAAACCCGACTCATTATTTGCAATATATTTGCTTATCTACCCCACCTTCGAATGCACATAGTGTTGAAATTGCTAACCTACATTACTATGAAAAACGAACCTACTAGACTGAATCCAACATTTGTTCATATTATTTTTATCTTTAGCCCTTGGTTGTATAATCAAAATACTGTGTTCCAAGTTTAACTCAATTCTGCCTCACAGCTCCCTCTTAACTGTGGTCAAGTTATTCGTTTGAAATACAGTAAGAGGCCGGGTGTGGTGGGCCCACGCCTGTAAAATCCAACACTTTGGCAGCCGAGGCAGGTAGAATACTTGAGGTCAGGAGTTTGAGACCAGCTTGGCCAACATGGTGAAACCCCATCTCTACTAAAAATACAAAAATTAGCTGGATATGGTGGCACATGCCTGTAATCCCAGCTACTCAGGAGGCTGAGGCAGGAGAACTGCTTGAATCTGGGAAGTGGAGGTTGTGGTGAGTTGAGATTGTACCACTGCACTCCAGCCTGGACGACAGAGTGAGACTCCATCTCAAAAAAATAACAGTAATAACAAGGTTCATTTGTTGTGTTTGTATTCTGTTGTAATTTCTTCTCTCCCCTCCCTTCCTATTTTCATTCCTTATGTTTACTTGGCTTTGTAATATGTGAGACAATGCTTCTAAAAGTTTTGAGACAAAACAAAAATTAAAAAGAATTCCCAACTTCCCCATTGTTTCCACTCATACCTTGTATACAACTATCTCATTGTTTCTAGTTCATCCTTCCTATGTTTCTTTTTGTACAAACAAGGACATGTATTTATTTCTTTTTTACATGAGAAGTAGCATACCATAGTTTTTGTACTTTACTTTTTTCGCTTAATAATCTATACTAAATCCTTAGACTGGGCGTAGTGGCTCATGCCTGTAATCCCAGCATTTTGGGAGCTGGCAGATCACCTGAGGTTGGGAGTACAAGACCAGCCTGACCAACATGGAGAAATCCCATCTCTACTAAAATAAATAAATAATAATATATACTAGAAATATTTCATAATACTTCATAGTATTCCCCATTCTTTTTCATAGCTGCATAGTACTCCACTGTTTGGATATAACATAGCTTATTCAGCAAGTTCTACATATGAGTATTTAGATGGTTTCCAGTCCTTTGCTATGATAAACAATGTTCTGATGAGTAATCTTATACCTGTATATTTTCATATTATTGGACGTATAGCTTCAGAGTTCATTTCTAGATGTGAGATTGGTAGATCAAAGGGTAAATGCATATGTATATTTTTTTAGATATTGGAAAATTCCCTTATAAAATGGCTGTACCAGTTTGCATTGCCATCAATAACATATAAAAACATCTAATTTTCTACAGCCACACCAATAGAAAGTGTGGTCATACAAAAACCACATTCTCAACATAACTAGAAGACAAAGCGCCAACTTCAAATTGCCTATAAGAAAACAAACAAAACAAAAACAACCCAGCAGTCTTTCACACTGCTCCTAGAAGCCTCTGTGGTCAGCAAGGGTAGTCTATGGAAAGACTTTATGAAAGAAAAAAAAGCTGTCCTAACACAGTCCTCAAATTGCTCCAGAACCATTGCCAGAAAGTTAAGAGTCTGCTGTAAATATGAAAATGCTGAAGAGGTGTACTTGTAGAACAGAGCACTAACTACATGCACTACCTTTAGGAAAGGGGCATAAATATAATGTGATCTGAGTTGATAGCCTTTGAAAGTGTAGCTTCTGAAAGAGGAGGGCAAAAGGGAAGGAGAGCCATCCTTTGATAATGGCAGAAAAAAAAAGTTGTGGAGTGTTTTGAGACAAAACAAGAATCAGAAGGAATGCAACTCCTCTCCCCTCCACAGCTTCCATTATAGGTCAGCCACAGGTCACAGCAAGTTGGTGTATGCTAGAATGTGGTTCTGGATGAGAAAACAAAATATCTATCACAGTAAGAGACTTAAAATAGGAAGAAGGCGGGGAGTTGATGAACATACTGGGGTAACTAGAAACCTGAAAAGATTATATTGAGCCAAAAAAATGACTGAATTAGTGATTTAAGAAGGTTCCATGGAGATGAGTGACTCAGGTAAAGTGAAGGACATTATTAGAAATCAAAAGGTCAATAAAACCAGAGGCATGAATGTGTTATAAGGAGTCATCCTTGTCAATGTGAAGTAATTATGGATAATACCAGATTGTAGGATGATTGGGAGACACTGAGCCAGGTTCCAAAGCCCTCAACAGACAGAGAGACGTGACCAAAAAGTAGGGGGATTGCAATAACAAGGAGTGAAAGATCATACAGTGGATTTGAATGTCCAAACAAATCTCTGGTAGGCAAAAATCTCTCTTTGCTCTTTCACTCCACATACTACCAGACATAGAGGTAAAGCTGGTGCCCTATTTGATTTATTATTGCTATTTGCAGGCCAATCCCCCTTCCTTTCCACAAAACCTTTCCTTCAAGTCACATGTCATCAGAATGTAGCACCTGCTATCTTCTTGTTTGCAGTCATCTTCAGATGTACAAACCACTCTATCTCATTTCTTGAAGATTTTAGCCTGTGGCAAGTAACACTCTCTAACATTAATTCCCATGCTTCTTGATTTAAGTATCAATTAAGATGTTCCACGGCCTCCTCTACCCCAATACTTTTGTCCACCATTTTACTTCAACTTTTCACACCATAGTTCTGCCTAAACCCTTGCATCATCAAAATCTAGAAGGCTTGTTTTAGTTTAAGGTCAACTACAATAACATAACACATCAATCTCCAAAATGTTAGAACTCATACATGACAGTTTACTTCTTCTTCACATGAAGTTTAAAGTGGGTGGTCCTGATCAGCAGACAGCTCTCCTCAAAGCAATGACTCAAGCTCCTTCCTTTTTGTGGTTCTTTTATCTTTAGCATGTGAATTATTAGGTTGCTGCACTCACCTTCATCAACTCAGTGTAGGGAAAGAGGTAAGAAGGATTGCATATGGGAATGTTTTAGGGCCAGACCTAGAAATGCCACACATCTCTGATCATGTCCCTTTGGCCAGAACTCAGTCCTATGTCTACACTTAACTGCAAGGGTGCCAGGAAATGTGTCTAACTTTGTGCCCAAAATGAAGAGGAATCGTATTTGTAGACAGCTTTGTCCTCTGGTCACCAATTCTGTTTTACTCTCAATTGAGGCATTCTTATTTCTCACTACTGCATATTACCATTCCAGTTCACTCTAAATAGCACCGCAAGTGTAACGATGACATGACTCCATTAAGGCCTACAAAATACTGATCCTGTTACTCATCGTTTCTTACCACTCATATGTCTTCACTTCCCTTCTCACATAGCTTAAATTCTATGGTCCATCATTCTAATCACTCCCTTGTGCACATGCTCAACTCACGTCATCAAATTCACCTGGGAACGCCCACTCATAGTTTAATCTGAGCAACTTCCTTGTTCTGAGCCTGTAACTAGAAAGCTAAATATGACTGCAGAAAAACTCAGAACCAAGCTTGTTGATTGCATTCTAAATTCAAGAGCACTTACCTCAACTGGGCCTTTAACATTGCCTGCTAATTTACTAAATGTCTCTAGTCCTTTCCTTCTCTTCCTCTCTTCAAACATAACACCTCCTCATGTGTCATCATTTTCATAATGACCTTGATGTATATGTCCCTGAGAAAACAGAAGAAATGTGAAGAAAATTTCCAAAACCTACCACTATGGCCATCTCCAACTCACCTGCAACAGTTCCCTCCGTATCTACAGAAGTCCTACATGCTTCCACCTAAGGCCAATCTCTCCACCTGTGCACTAAAAAGAGCTAAAACTTACTAGGCACTTACTCCGTGGCTGGCAGTATTCTAAGCTCTATGTGTATTAACTTAATTCTCGTTGCAATCCTACGAGGCTGGTACTGATTTTAGGCCCACTTTACATATAGATAACTAAGGTACATTGACAAGAAACATTCCTTGACTCCTGAAGTTAAGAAATGCCAGGGCTCCGATTTTTCTCCAGAATCCACGCTCTTCACCAAGGAGAATTATAGGGAAAACATTTGACATTTTAGTAAATTACCCTACCAGAGTGGACACTTACTCTTTTTAAAGGGTTGTGTGGGAGGACTGAGATGGAAGACATGACAATGAGGAACAAGGAAAACACCTTCACCACCTCTGAACAATGAGTCATGTATATAAAAATAAACCAGCCGCCACTGGAATAGGCTGCAAAGGAAGCAGTACCTTCAGGAAAGTGGTTGTTTTTAGTTTCCACAAGGAGGAAGAAACACTCAGGACAGGTGGGAGGAAAATGAGGCATTCGCACATTGGGAATTAACCAAAGTAAACAGGGCTAGGGTGTGATAGGACAAAAACCGTTCATGTTCAAGTGTTCCTAGAATAGTGACAGTGATAGTGGGCTAAATATTATAACACTCAACTTTCTACGGTGAGCAGGTATAACTTGCTGTAACAAATACACATCAGTCTAAAGAGGAAATGCAATACAACTTTTGCAATCAACGTAAAATCTCATAGGAGAGCTTACCTTGAGCAAAAATAAAACCACTCAACCTCATAAAGGATACACAGTAAATATAAATCCTATAAGAAAGTGCCTTTACCCTCAGCAAGCCTACTGTGTATATTTTCTTCAAGGTAAATGACTGTTAAATAGTATTTCTGCTTTTACCCTTATCTAAATAAGATAGCAAGTTCTCGCTATTATAAACCTATTTTATGCTCACTGATTCTAATTTGATCAAGCAGAATAGTCTAGAGCTTATAACTTTCACTTCTACACAGAACACATGACATAGTCTAGCCCGTACTCCAAGCCTTTCCTACAATGACCATCCTGCCATTATAATCTCATCTATTAGTGCTTTCTCAATCCCTTCCCGTCTTGAATGTCTCCCTCCCTGCCACTCAGCTGCTTAACAAACACAGCTTAAGCACTCATTATATTCAAGGTTGTAACACGTATAACTTTACCTTCTTTCTCTCCATAAATATATAGTTTGGGCTTCCTGTAGCAAACTATAAGCAACTTGAGGGCAGACACTTGTAGTTATCTTGGTAAGCTCACATTTAGCATATGGCAACTTACACATAGGAGGCGGTCAGCTTTTTTTCTGAATAACTGAGCCAGTGTTACCATTGCTATCCCAGGAAGCATCAGGTTACTCAACAGCAGAGTAGACCCTCATATTTAACAAATGAATGAATGAATAGGTGGATATGTGCCTACTCTTGGAACTTTTAGGAAAGTTCAAAGAATTTCCTAATATTAGAAACTATTAGGAAATTATTGTTAGTACTGCTAGTTGTGATGACTGTGGTTAAGGAGAAAAAAAATTATTTTGAGAAATACAAGTTAAAGTCTTTTCAGTGAAATGCCATGAAACCTATGAAATTTAAAGTACTTCAACAACAAAACAGATAAAGCAAAATGACAAAATAAACATTGCTAAAAATAAACCTGGTTATATTCTGTACAACTAGTGCAACTTAGTCTAGTCTAACATTTAAAATGTAATTGGCAAGATGACACGAATATGGTAAGAACCTAGTAATTAGTCAGATTGCCTTCAGGTGAATCAGTAACAAGTAATATAGGCACTCTAATAGGAAAGGATATGACATGCTTGAGAAGGTACAATACAGCATAATTTAAAAGCAACAAAATTATTCATACTAGTACAACCAAGGGACAGCATTCTGAACTGCTTGTAGTAGGCAGGTAGGGAATCTCCTATTTAGAAATAAAGTAGTCGCGTTTAAGAATAAATTTCAAATACTAGATAAGGCCAAAAAATGGGATTATTTATTTCTATTTTGGGAAAATAAATTTTTCTTTACGGATCTTTCAACTCTTATTTTACATGTAAAATCATTATGTTCCCTGTCATAAATATAAATAAATATTACAAAAGAATAAGATTTACAAATTTCACATCTCACGTCAGAAATAAGAAAAAATCTTTTCTTATGTTAATATTGTAATATCTCTGGATACTTTTAAAGGTATTAAGTCAAAGAAGACACGTTTCACAGGTTTCTTCCAAACTGTATTTGTGCAATAAAGGAAGACTCAGTCTTTCATTCGATATCCCTCCCTTGTCATCAACACTCCTGGATCACTAGCATGTTTTACCTTTAAAATATTTTTCTAGCCCATAAGAAAAGATGAAAATGCCTTATAGCCAAGGATTACTTTATTATGTAGTTCATCTCTCTTTAGCAGTTTTGCTTAGAAGAGACTGGATTGGGTTTTTATTTGCTTTTGATATCCAAATAATGTTTTTCATTTTTTATTTCTTTTATAAGTATAAATAACATGACAGATCTTGTGGGGAAAAAAATTACTTTTCTTTTCCTCGTGCTCCAGTTCTAAATATGAACAAGTCTCTATGCTTTTCTACACTTTTAGGAACAGAATCACTCTCAATTCTGCAAGTTGTTCTATTTTCAAGAGGCTTAGGTGTGCTAAGAATGTAAATCCAAGACTGTCTCTTTTCTCTTTGCTTTGTTGACATTCTTAACACACCTGAAAGACAATGAAAGCATCCTAAATGAAGAGCACGACTGCATTTATTGTGTCCAATCTGCAAATAGGTCTAAGAAACTAGAAACAGTCTGTTTACTTGTGTGCATTTTCTTCTTTACTCTTCTTTGGCTAAGTCAGCCAGCCCGTGGTTACTGGCGTCACAAGCAAAACTGTCAATGTGAAACAGATGTGGCCTGAAAATTTAAAAAAACAAAAAGTTAAAATCGAAATGATTTTATTTACTAGCGATAAACATTAGTTTTTAGTTACTATGTGATAAGTCACCAAAAAGAATCCATTACTTTGGGGTATAAAAAGAGATTAACAAGTAATAGAGTATGGATGATATTCTACAGGTGGGGTTTATAAGCTACAGCAACAACTAAAATATGACATGGAGATTTTAGTTTCTTGAGATGGATAATGGCTAAGCTAGAATGAATTAAGGTACACTCAGATCAAAAGTGAATGGATTCCTAAGTTTGGGAGATGTTAAAAAATATATAAAAATAAATGAAGATGTAAAAGTCAATAAAAACGCCTGAATACTACATGTGGAAGAGAAGATTAAGAGATGAAGACACTCAGAAAGTTTTACAGATACATTTCTACCAAGTTATTTTTGTGTGATAATTTTATATGAAGTATAAGAGATGTCTTTTACACAGGGAGGGGAGCATCACACAATGGGGTCTGTGGGGGGGGCTAGGGGAGGGACAGTGGGGGATGGGGAGTAGGGGAGGGATAACATGGGGAGAAATGCCAGATATAGGTGATGAGGAGGAAGGCAGCAAACCACACTGCCATGTATGTACCTATGCAACAATCTTGCATGTTCTTCACATGTACCCCAAAACCTAAAATGCAATATATATATATATATATATATATATATATATATATAAGTATTTGTGATATAAAAAAATCTATAAACATGGCCTATAAAAGGATATCTTAGTACATAGTATAATTTTTCTTAAACATTGAAAACTCAAAAAGCCACCAAGCAAAAGGAGAAATAAATACAAGGTAGGTCAATTATCTCATGATGAAAATTATCATAATGAAGGCATACTCTTTAAGTCCTACTATGCCATTCCTTTATCCCAAATATTTGTGGCATTATAGCATCTAAGCTTTACAATAAACTGAGTGCAAAACACAAGATGAGATGATGAGCATACTGCTAACCAAGTCCAGAACTGATGATGTGTCATAGAAATGAGACAGTCAATGTGTTAGTCATTTATTGAACAAAGAAAAAACAACTCTAGTGACAGTAGAGACTTAACCCTCTATTATCCTTTAAAAGTCATGAGAACCCCCTAGACAAAGGTGTTAATGGATATTTTGCAAGATTCAGAAATGTGATTTTATTAAGCCATTTATACCTTTTATAATTTACCAGAAAATCTTATTTCTGAGGTACCACCAGTCACACTTAAATGGTGAAACACCACACTGAGTGCTTTGTTACGTTCGTGTGCATTATAAGAGCTGAATAGTAAAGAAGGAAAAACGATTGAATTGAATTATATAATTGTCATTTCAATCCAAAAACAAAATCAGACATTTGCTTACACTCCCATCCCTAAACTAAAATTTATCATGTAGACCGAACTCTTCTAAAAGAAAGAAATAAATCCTTTGATAGGCAAACATGAAGAATCATTAAATGAAACTTCATTATCACTTGCACATTAACTATATCCCGTCTTAATTAAGATCAAATATTTAATTAAATCAGTATGAAATCAGGCCAGCCAAACATATATAAAGCTAACTCTTACCCTTGACAGCTTATAATTCCAAAATAAGGCAAGTGGAGTGTTTTTATGTGCACACAAAAAAAGGCAAATTCTTTCTTAGGAGTTTGCATGAGTTTCCCTCTAATTCAGAAAATGAGCAATTAATTTTACTGCAAAACCCCAAAATACAATTCTAAACAAATACCGTAGTCTTCTTATCTGTGGTTTCAGTTACCCTTAGTCAACTACAATCTGAAAATAGGTGAATACAATACAATAAGACATTTTGAGAGAGAGACAGAGACCCCATTCACATAACTTTTACTACAATAAGTTGCTCTAATTGTTCTACTTTATTATTAGTTGGTGCTAACCTCTTACTGTGCCTCATTTATAAATTAAACCTTATCTCATAGGTATGTACATACAGGAAAAAAAACAGCATATGTAGGATTAGGTACTATCTGTGGTTTCAGGCATTCACTGGGGGGTCCTGAAACATACTCCCAAGGATAAGCAGAAGTTACTGTATTCCCTCCTTCTATGTTCCAGCACTTTGTGTCCTTAATAGGACATACAAGTATCACAGCCAATCACTTTACCAAAGTATGTAAAAAAAAAACTGATGAAAGCCAAGAGACAGCATCTGGTAAAATTCTCACATTCTGCTACCCCCCGCCCCCCAACCAATCCTCACTCCCACCAATCCAGGGAGCCTCAAAGCAGCTTTGGTAAGCTGATAATACTCTAAACATTGATAATTTATAACTTGATAAATTGATAATAGTATTTCAAAAGGAGAGTTGGAATAAATACAAGAGAATACATAAGACTGGTGGTTTAATTTTTTTCAGAGCAGCTTTGCTGAAGCTTTCATACCAGCTCACTTTAGATGACTTCAAACTAACTCTGTGAGTTTTTCCTGGGCTCTAAATCACATTCCTAAAAAGTTTTTAATATATCTGGAGAAAAAGTTATGTTTTACTATATTTGCTATTGTGACAGCTAGAATATTTTGATAATATTAAACTAATGCCTGTAAAAATTATTAATCACTCCCCTGGACCTAATAGTCAAATATTTTTCTAAAAGACTGACTCATTTAGTGAGTTAAAGAATATTTACATACTTTAACTTATAATATGCTTAAGTAATATTGTTAATTTAAGAAGAAAGGAAAGTTGTGGATGGTAAAAAGTAGATAGGTCAAATCATGCAAATAATTAAATCAGTCAATTTAATAATATAGTTTTCTTATTAGTTAATAGGCATTAGGGCAGCTTAGAAATAACACAAGTTTGCATAAACTCCACAACTAGTTTTCTGAACAGTTAAATCTACAAAAGAGAAGAGAGTAGATTTAAATCATCCTCTGTCTACAGGACACATCAGAGCCAATCCTAACATTTATGCTTAATGTTATGTGTATTCAATGGAGATTAGATATTTTAAATAATACTGATGTGTGTGTGTGCTGTTGCTGTTTTAACATCTGAGTGCTCACTATGTGCCAAGCAATGTTCTAAGCACTTGACAGGTGGCTCATTTGATCCTTACTATAATCACATGAGGTAGGTACTGTATTTCCCCCATTTTACAAATAAGGAAACTGAGGCATAGAGAGGTTAAATTACTCACAGTCAAATAACTCCTCAATGGTAGACTCAGGATTCACACTGAGCTGTCAGGCTCCAGAGCCTGCTGTCTTAACCACTGGGCTGTTTTAAGCTGGACTGGCTTCTATCCACAAATATAACTGAGAAAAAGGCCTAATCACAGGCAATTTCACAGTATGTTTGAGGTTGACTTTTCCTAGATTTCTTTGCTTCTGTACAATACAGAGACACTACTGTAAATTATACTGAGTGGAAAAAAGGGTGAGTGAATCAATAGATCACAAAATGAGACTTCAATTCACTCTCCTTTGAAATGTGCCTTTGAACATATTGAGAAAAAAGAAACATGAAGTCTGCTCATCCAGGAGAGTAATTATAGACAAAATGAATAAAAAGATGCCAAAAATTAAATAAAGCTAAGAGAGTTATCTACTGATACAGTACCAAATTTTACTGAAAAGAAACTAGGAATAATTTTTAAAAATCATCAGAATTTCTGCTCACCCTGATTTTCCATAGTCCAATGACTAGAATTACGGTACCACTTAATACAGTACCAGCAAGAAATCCTTGAAGGGGAAAAGATATGGTAACACAGTTAATAGAAATATGAGTAATTACAGATTATATTATGGCTTCACAATGACATACATACTGGTTATGAAGTGAGTTAAAAAAAAAATAGGAGACATTAATTGCATTTTATATATGGCTTCCTTATGTCACAAGTTTTTAACAAATGTGTGTTTTATTTGTCCTGTTTTCTTTGAAAGAAAAAAGAAGAAAGATATTTAGAGTATCACAATGCTCAAATAAAATTTTCTGGACAGGTTTGAGGGGATTCTAAAGTGTGTCAACCCAACCATGCTTGATTTTACATGTTTTCATCATTGAGCATTCAAATATGGTGACAGAATTTATGTTATTTTAGAGCTAGAAAGTATCTTAGAGTTCACTTTTATTTTTTAGATGAGTAAACTGAGTCTCAGAAAGAAGGAAGTTACATGTTAACATATGGGGTTAATGGGAAGGACATTTACTTAGTTTATAGCAGACATAACAGATATGTAGGCATTTCTCCATCACAGGAAATATGCCTGTACTATTATCACCTGAGATTAAAGGGAAAAATATCTTTGCTTTGCTTACAGAATATGCTTTTCAGTGTTCAGTCTATTGCAGATTAAATTTCATTTTAAAAATTGTATTCGCTTTTAAGATTCAATGCACAGTTTCGAGCTGAACAGCAAATAATTGGTCAAATAAGTTGGTCAACATCAAATCACTTTTACAGCTTACATAATCTTTCTTCTCAAATGCACCCATTTGCCCATTTCTCTAACTATCCTCGTTCTCCCTTTCCTCACCAACACTGCCCCCTACCCCCAGTACCACCAACTCTGCCCAATGTCCCTGGACTCAACTCTGTAGGTCTGTACTACAAAGGAAATGACAGATGACACTAGAAAAGCAACTGAAGCTAACGTGACTAATGAGTGTGTTTGACTTCAAATCAGCAAAACAGAGACTGTACAGTTGCACTGCCATATGGAAATGTTATTTTAAAAAAGCAGCTCATTGTACCACAGGTAAGTTTTTACAGTATTTTACTTTATAAGTTTATTTAACTGGTCCTTTAACATTGTATCATTAGCTTAAAAAGCCTATCCATGAAATAAACCACAGCTCCTAAAAAATTTTGGGTTTCTCTTCCCGTTACCAGTTCCCACGAATTCCATCATTTTCAATATCTTATTTTTTATTTGAATGATAAATCAAGATAGAAAATTCAGAGTGATCTAGAACATCCAGATGAAAGAAGTAAAAGGC